CCCCCCCCCCGACAAAAAAATCGACTCACAGTGGAGCAGTGCAGTCCGAACGGCGATCGCTGCAGCCGCATCGCGAAAGCCCCCTTCCACTTTCCGCACACCGCGGTCTCGCCGGCTAGCTTGGGCTCCCCACGTCCGTCGGTGCCGATGACTGTCATCGCGTCCACCGCCCTGCCCCCTAGCTGGCAGAAGAACAATCAAACCCATTCGGGAGGGAGAACAAAAAAAAAAAGAAGTCAGCAAGAACACAAGGCACACGTCAGAGAATAGGACCGCGTGGCATTGCTGCGCAGCAGAAGGCAAAGATAAAAGGCTAAAGCGTGGTGAAGTGGGCCCGCAGCGGTACTCTTGTAGCTGTACATTGTGACCCCGCAGAAAGGATGACGCCAACCTGAGGCACAACATACACACAAAAACTTGCTCTGACGATATCGGGGAAACTGGTGCAGGATAGAGGCAGGTAAAAAAACAGCGACGACAATAAACAGCCCAATACGCTTGCTGCTGCTGCTTTGACCAAATAGTGCGGGGGAATGAGGAAAAAAAACGGTATGATGTAAAGACGGATAGAAAAACTAATGGAAGCCGGGGTGGCGGGTGGAGGACGACAAGCGGAAAATGCAGTCTTCCCCGCGGATTTGAAACAGGCTCCGGTGGGACATCTCCTGCCAAAAGTTAACAACTGCTTATTGATATTTAAATTTGGATCTGCGTTCTGTGCGTGCAGGCAGACGTTCTGCTTCGCTGAACAAAACAAAAAAATTAGGGTCTGCCACACGCGCCCACTGGGTTTAGCGCTTTGAGCAAAAAAAGAAAAATCTAAGGCAGCTGCACCCCGAGCATTGGCGGTCGTTTCGCGCTGCAGTTGCTGCTGTTGCTCTCTGTCACTCTGTCCCTTTGACTGATTGCCTGTCTGTCTGTCTGTCGTCGGCCAAAGGCCTCTCTCTGGCATGCGTTTTTGACTGGTCGCGGGTGACACACGGAGCAAACACGCGGCGGAACAAGAAAAAAGCCCAAAAAGTCAACACCGCAACACACTTTGGTTCACGTTTGCAGGCCGTGTGCAATCAAAACTGGACAATACGCTCTGTTTCTGGTACGCGAGCAAAGGGTATGAGTATGACCACACGTCATTGGCTGCAGTTTGTGGATGTCGATTGCATAAGGCCTCTCTCTGGCGTTTTCAACTGGTCACACATGCAGCAGGCGCAAATCGGCTCTTTTCGGCCCAAAGGCAAGAACGTCAGAAGAGCAATGTGGCAGGGTTGACGTCTTCGGCTCGTGTGCGCCCAACACGACGCAGAACGCCCTGAATTTTAGATCCCTGCAGAGGGTTTGTGCATGACCTCATGATACTGGCCTCTGTTTGGCCAGCAGACGATGTAGTTCCTCGTTCTGGGGCGATCGGGGTATGACCAGAAGATACCTCCCCCCATTTCTAACAGCGATATTCAAATAGGGTCGCTGTTAGAAAATGGCCAACTTTCTAACAGGCCGGCCGGAATCGCTGTTGGATTTGCGCTGTTGGATTTTGGGCTTATGGAATTTGCCATTTTCCTACCCGTAAGGCTGTTTCCTATATACCTGATTTCCTTTCCCAAAAGCATCACTTTTCAGGATGGGCAGAAATCCGGCTGGAAAATGTCTGGCCGTTCTTACAGTGAGCCGGATTCCTGAGGCGAATTCTTGGGGGGGGGGTGTAGATCAACCCAGACGACATTATCATCGAGTGNATCGGCGGGTGCGACCTGAGTACTTGACGTATCGCTCCCATCAAGGGCTTCCAGCAACCCCAGGCCGAAGGGCTTGCTATTCTGCCTAGGTACGCGTGCGTAAAAAAAACATGCCGCATCGCACCAAGCATGGGAGACGCCGAAACAGCCAAACCGCCACGAGACAGCAAAAAGAGCCGCTTTTTGTCATAGAGGGGAGGACACCGCAACTGATTTCTCGCTCCCTAGGCCACCGATCGACGCCAGACCGGTCAGGGCGTGCTCTCTGTTCCTTGCTCTCTGCCGGAGTAGAATTGCTCGGCAGCGCGTACTCTAGATCGACGGGGAGCAGCATGCGCATGGTGCCCGTTGCTTTTTCGAACTGTGATTTTTTTCTGGTCTGCTTCACTTGAGAATGGAGAGATGTGTTGAGGGCCTGGAAACAATTTCCAACAGACAGCTTGTATACATGCAGACGACGATTTCGAATGATTGGATCAACAAGCTGCTGAGCAACTCCACTCCGGCAGAGAGCAAGGAACAGAGAGCACGCCCTGACCGGTCGGGCGTCGATCGGTGGCCTAGGGAGCGAGAAATCAGTTGCGGTGTCCTCCCCTCTCTGACAAAAAGCGGCTCTTTTTCCTGTCTCGTGGCGGTTTGGCCTGTTTCGGTGTCTCCAATGCTTGGTGTGATGCGATATGTTTTTTTTACGCACGCATGCCGAGCGACCATCAACAGCCAGCGTGCAGAATAGCAAGCCCTTTGGCGTAGGGTTGCTGGGAGCCCTTGATGGGAGCGATACGTCAAGAACTCAGGTCGCACTCGCCGATTATGTCGTCTGGGTTCACCCAGCGGTTAACTTTTTGGGGTGAGAAATCTGGGTGGGCACCATCCTGATTTCTTCCAAACTTTTCGGAAAGCTGAACCCAGATTTTGTTGACCCATAAAACTGAAGAATCTGGCTGTGTAAGAAGCCGGATTTCTGCCCATCCTAAAAAGTTATGCTTTTTGGGAAAGGAATCCAGGTGTATAAGAATCAGCCTAAGACGCCCAAATTGCTTTTTGGGCTCAGAAATGGACCCCCCCCCAAAACCCAATCCGGAAATGACCAGACCTTAAGACTTGGCCTACCGTGATTATTCGCGGTTACCGTGCCCAATCCAAACGATAATATTAAAAAAAAAGGAAAAAAAGAAAACAAGTAAAAGAAGGACGCATGACAAAATAGCTCCCACGCGGATTTGAACCACGGACCTTGTGCTTACTAAGCACACGCTCTAGCCAACTGAGCTATAGGAGCTCTTCGCATAGCTTTGACAGATTTTCAGACCTTCTGATAACGGAAATACCTCCTCCCGTAAGTGTTCGTACCAATATTCCGTAACACCCTATTTTTCTGCGATTGGACGCTGCTCTTCTTCGGTCACGATTGAAGGAACTTATGAACAACTCGGGTCGAGAGAATCTCAACCCCTACGTTCGAGGCATGCCCGCCACTTCGTAGGCCCCCGCCACCGACTTCGTCAACCGGTGGTAGCCAGAGGATATGATTTGCCGAAGAACGAAGTACATCGCTGAAGCTGTTTCTAAAGCTGTTTCTCTTAATATATTGGGGGGTGGGGGGGCTCTTCCCTTACCTCGAGAATACTGTTAGGTTTCATAGAATGCATGGAGCAAAATGGCAAATCCATAACGCTTATCTTCTTAAAGCCCGAATTTCCAAGATGACGGGGCGGCGAGTAAGAAAATGGGCCCATTTTCTAAACGGATCGACTCATATTTTCCCGTTAGGAAAATGGGGGAAGGTCACACCCCAGTCGTGCCAGAACGAAGAACTTCCCCGTCTGCTGCCGAACAGAGGCCAAAATACACATTGTGGGGTCATACACAAACCCTCTGAGGAATCGAAAAGTCAGGGCGTTCTGCGTATTGTTCACCGGACTCGAGCCGACGACGTGCACTACAGCATTCTGTGAATCACCAAAACTTGAATCGACATTTTTGTCCACTGGGAAAATATGACGCGTCGAGGGACCCTAAGACGGTCACTCGGATCTGCATATTTTTTTCTTGCAAATGCTTCTCGGAGAGAAAGAGCGAAAAAAATAATACCTCCATAAGAAGTATATAAATAAATAAAACACGGAACAGCCCGACAAATACAAACACTTTTGAAAAAACGACAGATCAACTTCTCCAACACCCAGCACCTGAAAATTATTCGTTTTATAGGGGGGTTACATGCACCCGAGTCTCCAATTCGATGGTTAAGGTCAGACACGCTTGCCTGTCACTCGTTTCGATAATGCGTGGGGGGTTCGATGCCCCAACCAGCAACCGATCACAGCAGTGACCTGGTTCTCACCTTGTCTACCGAGAAGTAGAGTGTTGCCTGGGTCTGCTCCCCTCGGCACATCCCTCTCGACTTGAGTAGGGGCTCCAGGCAGCCAGAAGACATGAAGACTAGGTCCTCTTTCTTGTCATCGGGGCACGAGTCGATAACCGCCGCAACTTCTTCCTCCGGCACGCACACGTAGATCGGGAAGTTCTGCAGCATTGAGGTTTCTGCCGTCGCAGCAAATTCGAGGTCAGAGCAGGCATGGGGGGACACACGACGGAGAGCACATGATTCGCAGGGTGGGGGGAAAGAGGACGAAAAACGAAAGGTGCAAAAAACTGAAATTGAGATTTCCTATTGAGTGAAGTGAATCTCAGTAATAGCACCGAACGCTTTTAAAACCAGCTCACCCAAAGATTATCTTTGCGAGGAGAATTGATGTGTGCGGATGGGCGCGCTTCTTCTGAGAGCACAAAACAACGCCACACAAAAACGCAACAGCGCGTGCCTTGGGGTACTTGGTAACGAGAGAACGGCGACGGGGAACGACAGACGAAAACAAAAAATAGAACCACGCACACGGGGAAACGCGACACCCCCAAGCAAAGCAGCCGGACGATAGCACCGCCAGTGTTACAGGCACTACCGTACCCACTACGACGGCGCATCATTTTCGCACGTTAGCAGCGGATGCAGGTTTTTCTGTCACTTTCGTTCCTGGAAGCCCAAGGTGGCACAGCTGATGAAATCTAGGACCACGCAGCCAAAGCTTTTCGCGTGCTTCATTCAGTTTAGCCGGAGGGTGTACTGTTCTTGTTTTTCGAGTGTGCCACTGTAAAACCTGTAAATCTACAGCTTGGTCGAAGGGTGCATTTGTGTCGATTATGGTTTGCCTTATAGCAAAACCTATACACTCTGCATTGCATAGGTATCAGTACAGCTTTTCAAACTCACGAAATACAACGGTAATGTAGCGTTTAAGTCTGGCCATACAAAATCCTTTTTGAAGGACACAATTACCCATCCTCCCCCGGAAGTTTTGCAGTTGCTATTGCCGAGAGAGAAGAACAGAACAAAGAACAAGGATAATAACGGGGTCTCGATGTAGATGTGTACATATAGGATGTTGAAACAACGCATAGGTTCAAAGGAGAACATACACGGGCCAATGGATGCGGGGACAAAGCTGAAGGTCAAGTGAAGGACAGGGGACATTGGCCTTCGAGTACGTAGACAAAGATTGTTGAAGGTAAATGACGACAAGTTCAAGTGCGAATGCGGCTCCGAGTGCGAAGACCCTTCATGCAGTTGCAGTATGTCCATTTTATGAAAAGGAGAGGGAAGTGTACATGATCGAGCTGGGACAAGAAGAAGGAAGGTACAGGGGGGGGGTTCGAGGCATGGAATAGAGAGGAAAGGGCGGTAGCTAATACTGGGGCATGGGAAGTGGACTGAAAAGGCGGGTAGTGATATCGATAGGATGGATAGGCTTAGAAGAAAAAACATTTTTGAGTCACATTTGGCAAATTAGGAAGGACCGATTCGACCATCGGTGATCGGTCCTGTACGAACAACGCGCCGTCCTCTCGAGGGCGACTGGACACTGGTCTAACCACAAAGGCATGCAAAACATGAGAGTCTGCCCCCCCGCGGAACGGTCCTTCATCTAGTTGGGGCCTGTGCGCTCTTGGGTTTCTCTGGTATTCCTCCTTTGGAATCCTTCGGAAGGGGTCCCGTGACGGTGGACAGCGAGACAGGAAAACAGGTCCACATCTACCAACATAGAAGGAACATACGTTCACAGGAGGGGTGGGTGGGGGGAGACCCTTCTGTGACCACGGGTTGGAGTGAACGGCACAAGTGCTGTGAGCGTTGATTTTGAAGCGAAGACCAAAAAATAGGACAACACAAGAAGGAAAATATCGCAAGAGGGGGGGGGAAAGGGGGCGGCGGCTATACACCTTACGAGCCCCGACCGAAAAACTCACCGCCGTCCTCGCCTCTCCCCGATGAGCACTGCAGCGAGTCCGGTATGGCCTCCCCCCTGCCGAGAACCACGTCTTCGCCCATGCCCATGCTAGCCAGCGCCGTGCCCAGCTTTCCCCGGCCAATGATCACGGAGGGCTGGTCGATAGTGTCCTCCGGAGCGTTGCCGTCCAGGAGGTCTTGGTGGTATTTGGGGGCATTTTCCGGGAGGGGGGGTATGGGAGGGCTGGGCGTGCTATTCGCAGAAGTGCCACGTGTCTGGTTGCCCAGAACAGGAACATGAAACGCCTATTTTGAGATTACCATGACCACCTGCAGCGGCAAGCCTTTCTCAAGCGTAACCAGAGGGGGCTAATACCAAAATCCGGACAGGCGGTGACAAGGACATGCCTCATACGTTCTGCCGTAAGATATTGTTACAACATCGAGTGCACCCTTGGGCACGCACGAAAACGCGCCTTCCACCCATTGCTGGTACCTTTGTAGTCCTGGACCGCTTGTGGATTGGACCACACCTGCATGCGGAGGCCGTTCGGAGCAGCACTACTCTCGGAGCGCCCTCGCGAGACAGAGCGACGCGCGGCCTGCCGGTGGGCACATGGGGAGAGATCGAAAGCAACAAACAAGAGAAGGGTGGCGCAGAACAGATCGAGATGGAATCATCACAGGGATGGCGTTTTGGATGTTGGATACAGCGCGAGGGCGGGATGGTTGCGCAAGGGCAGCTCATGGTGTTCTATCGACAAAACACACATTTGGTGCCATGCCATTCTCCAACCGGTAGCAATGCAAATGCTAAGTCCCTACCATGTGTTATCCTGCTGAATCCATCCTCGTGGTGTGTGTGAAAACGCGATGCAACGTGAGTAACACCAATACTCTACGACAGTATCAGCCTTGCTTCTTAGTGTGTCCTAGGTTAACTGGGATGATAATTCGGCAATTCGGTCTCTCGTTCGACACCAAAAACATGTCACCTCCGCGCGTGGTACGTGCGGAAGCGCGGGCTCTCAATCACCTCTAGTTTTGGCAGAGGCCGGGGTTACCAGCAGCCGTTGTACGTACGGCAGTACCAGCTAAAAAATGGAAGCCGTATATGTACGTTAGTGCACGGGCCGACAAATCGAGCTCAATTTCTTCAAGACTATATCAATGTCTTGACGGTCAAGTTCTCAATGTGTGAAGTGTGGGCGATTAATGACTACTGTAGTATGTGCGAGGGTTGTGGGGTCCTATTTACAACAGGCGGTGTGCATATATGGTACTGAAACGCATAGTCATATCAAAACTTTCTACACATTACGTGTACGGTAAATTGGCGAGGGACAGATACAGAGAGGGACAGGGAGAAAAAGCTGCGGGAAGGCACGCCTTATGAAAACGACGATGTACAGGCACCACTCGTCGAAACGGCAGCTCAGCTATACAGCAGCAGTGCTGCTGTAGCCCCCTCCTCGACAACCGCCCGAGTGGCACAAAAAGTTGAACATGAGACGTTTTTTCGGGGTATCGATAATGATCTTGCCGTTCAGACATGTTTCCAGAGAAGACCAGGATGCTAGCCAAGCAGCGATGGAGGAGACTCTTGGGGGAAACCCCAATACTGAGCACTTGGAGCCATAACCAGCAAAGTCTATTCTCCCTTTCGCACGCCTGCCGCCTTACCCGAGACGTCCACGTGCCGCTAGACGAACCCAAGCTGCTGCCGATCGTCCGAACCGAAGAAGAAGCTCCAAACGAGTTCGCAGGCGTCGAAAGTATCCACCCGCAGGCCGTGTGCGAGCCCAAGACGACCGCTGCCACCGCAGTCGCTCTCCATGGTGCCGTCCGCTTCATGATCCCTGGTGCTTTGTGCGGACTACGGAGCAACAACATGCCCACATGCGGTGGGGGGTCACGGGGCTGAATATGGTGGGGGGGACGTGTATCAACTTGCGTTCCCCCTCAATGATCTTGGATCTTCGTAGATTCCCCGATCGCGTATCCGTTACTACGAATGCCCGCACAAACCCACACGCAGCAGCAAGGCCTACGCACACGCACCGTATACATGGGGAAGAGACGTTGTCCTTCACTGGTCTGGCAGAGATAGTGGCTACGTGATATCGAAGAAGGGATCCTACGAACCGTGTGTACGTGTTTGATTCTTACGCGAGATACATCCCGAGTACTCGGGGCGTTGCAGACATCTTCAACATGGCTACCAGAGAAAGGACGGTAGCGCGCAGAGGACGGCAGCACGAAGAAAGCACATCATCGGGGTCTTCATTCCTTGCCAGCCGCAGCCATAGAACTTGTGTCGTCGTCGACCACCCGGAAAAGAACCGCCGAAAGCGACCGTCGCGAGAATGTGACACCACCACTGATCGGAGACGACGACGGCGGCCGTTGCCACTCGTAACTATTGGGGCACTTGCTTCAGCTGCCGTAGTGTTGTTGTTGTCAAGGACAGTAGTCGAGGGCCAGTACACCGCTGACACCCTGTCGTTTGAGGAGAACATGGAGAAAGCCGAGGCAGACCTGACCGCGTCGCTAAAGGGGGGAGACTACGTCGAGGATGTGTTCTTTCCAGAGCGACAGGTGAGGTGAACGTGTTAAGAAGACTTGTGATCTGAAGTACCTCAATCCTCCAAACATCACCGCCTCTTAGCTAAGCCCGGTTTTAAGCCCGGTGACCACCGACTGCCATACACCCGACTGCAGTCGAATTTGTCTGGGCTGCTGAATGTGTAGTAGGACTGGCCGCGAGCGTATTGAAACCAAAGGAGTTGCTGTTCCGTGCTTCAATAAACTCGTAGATTTAACAATTCTGCTCATGTCGCCTTCACCCCCAAACTTGATCTTGGACCGAACCGACCATCCATGTCCACTGGAACAACGACGCCAGTATGCAGACACAGACATATTCGTCTACGAGTACCCAGACTCTTCCGACTACACCATTGGCATCATCATCGACCCGTGCAAGGTGAGCAGTCGTGTTTACCATTTGCTCGTTCCCAACGCGTTTAGCGTCTGGCTCGTGTTCAACGGCGACGCTTGGAACACAAACCTACACTTATGACCACGGGTTCGAAGAATAGGTCACATGTGCAATACCAACGACAACGGTACTCATCGTAGTCTAGATCCGACACCTGACTTTTCATCGATTGGGCGCATTTTCCAGAGCGGTGTACGGACTTCGCCGCACGTCGCATCACTACATGACTATATGCAGGCGAGCATGATTGCCGGCTTCCGCTAACGGTCATAACAGTCCCCCTCCGTGAAAAAGAATCAATCGGGAACCCTTGGCCATATCGACATTCACGCTGTACCACAAACCACGTGCGCGTACTCCTAACGCAGGGAAACTCGTACGACTGCTGCGACCGCTTCTACGGCGCACCTGAGTATCCTATGCTCATCGACCCCGACCAGTCGTCCTACCGTGTCGTGGACAAGTATCTCTTTGCCGACACTACGGAGATCCTAGCCAACACCGTCATTGTCGACAAGGAGGTGAACTACTGTAGGTCGTGCAGTATGGGGCCATTTTCAACGCGCTATACAGTAAGCCCCGTGCATTATTTCGGAGGAACGAGGAGGAGGGCATGAGTGAGAGGCGAATACAGATACAGACAAAGTCAGAGGAAGGAAGATACGAGAGAGAGAGAGAGAGAGAGAGAGAGAGAGAAAATCAGTAAGAGAAAACACGAACAGGCATTCCAGAAGGTGCTGGTGGGATAACGGTTGACAAACCCAAATACAACCTTTTCGTCGGGGTACGTGTAGCAGATTGGGCGATGTCGCTCTTCTGCCGGAACCCACCACATCTCAAAGGTCTGTTTGCCATGAATGATTTTTACTAGCGTTCATCGTTCTCCACTTTCCCTTGTTCCCCGGCTTACGCCGTGCTTCTGTGCAGTATTGGGGGAAGGGTGCGTTTCACCACCACTAGTCTTCGAGTTGGGAAGCCCGCATAGGGAGCCCTAAAGCCGCAAAGTTGAGTTGAGTTTACATTGGCGATGATGCCGGACGATGGTATCAAGAGTCTCTGAATGTCTCGCCATCAACGTCGCTCGCCCCCTACTCCACCCTGACAAAACACAGGGAGTCACGGTGCCAACCGCCAACAGCCGCTTCGCTGACGACGAGATCGTAATCGAAGACAACTGCACGGCTGCCGGCGTGCCGGACGGGCTGTCGTGCGTGGGGTTCCGTCAGAAACAGCAGCGATCCACGAGCGTGGCTCGATGCACGGACAACAACCAGACGGTAAATTAAATGACCCCGACCCCGCGAGGTATGGCACGCGCGTGGTGTCGGCGCGTCTTGCGCGTGCTACAGACGCAGGAAGCACACCTCACGTCGTTCTAGGCATCCCCGGCGCAACCTGTTCGGCCCAAAGCCGCTGCTGGGCAATGACCACGCCTGATGGTTGAATAAGAGGACGAAACGGCCCACCCGCCCTGCCTTCTTTGTGAACGATCGTCGTGAGGTGGTCTGCATGCTGAGCGACAGGCCAGTTCGCTTTGCATCGCCGTCCTGGCGAACGTACCGCCACGGGGGGAGCTGAAAGTGCATCGCAACGTATACTTCCCCGCCCCCGCCCAGTCCTGCGATTCGCCGACGCAACTTTGACTCCAAAGCACACGTGCATGGCCCTATCTTCTCTACTCGTCCCAACGTATAAGGTCGACGCCGGAAGCTCTTGCCAGAACCTGGCCGGGGAAGTCTCGGAGCACTGCCTGGCGGTGGGGTACTCGCAGACGGCCATCAGCGTGATCTGCGGGGGCGATTTCGCCGAGGATGACCACTGCGGGACGTTCCTCGAGCTGCACGTGGGCTACGCCAACTACTACGCGGACACGGAGGACGTTCTGTCGGAGGTTCGGCTTCTCACGGCGAATGTCACGGTAAGGCGTATGGCGGTGCGGTTGTTGGAAACATATTGAGGTCTCTGTTCGTCGTTGCTATCCCTCCCCCTTCTCGCGCCTCATCTCCGTGTGACAAAAAAATATCCTGTGTGCACTCTCCATGTGATAAATTGTCCTTGTCCGTAAGAGGTTGGTCTTGAAACTCCAAGTAGTATGCCAACACGTCCGGTATGACAAACGGCTTATATTCGAGGAACCCCTAGAACGTCAGCCGAGCTAACTCGATAGTCCCAGTCCCTGTCGAGCTACTCCCACCTGTTTCCGAGATTGTGAGAACAACGTGGTGGACGCCCCTCTATTGGTGGACAGGGATACACGACAACCACGATACCCACTACTTGGATGAACGACTCCTCTAAAATCCTATGCGCGTTTGAGCACGCGAGCTTGCTAGAGGGCACCATGGTGCTGATCGCGGAGGAGGCGCCTGTGTGCTGTTGCCCCCGCGCCTTCTCTCAGAAGGATCAGCTTGGTGAGGGAAAATTACATCATGTCGCTTGCTCGTGGTGTTGTTGTTGGTGGCCCTTGTGTCCGCCTCGTTGGTATCGTAGATTGATTCGCCGAACTGATCAGCGTCGGATCGTTTGCAGAATGCAGCAGGACATCAACAACCTTAAACGTTACGCATGGCCTTGCTACGCAGTCACTCACGATTCGTATAAAGGTTGATTACGGCTGAACGATGCCAATCGGTCCCCCCCTGTCTTCGGAGAAGGTCCGCGAATGACGCTTGCCACCATAATCTTTGCCGTTGATGCCCGCAGCTTCATCGAACCAATCCTCGCTACGGACACCATTTACCATTTCGGGAGAGGCCTTAGAAGGACAACGCTGAGAGTGCGTATCGAGCACATGCACTTCTTCCCTGCATGCCAGGCTAGCGTCTTGTTAGTTCCACCCCCTTCTTTCAACTGGTGTCTGGTGCAATGAACCCTCGACTGGTCTCTTGGTGATGGTACAGGTTCGTTGTTTTGCCCCGTGCACAACTCCCTGGAGGGACCATTTGCCGCGACCCTGACCAGCATTGCCGACCTCCTTACCTTCGAGGAAGAAATCCAGACCTACCCCTTCTGCCCCTCGCTGGATGAGAATGAGGACCTCATGGTTGTGTCCGAGTACTCCACGTCGTGGGAAAGGTGAGCCTGCGTGTTAGCCTGTATTGCGGATAACCGCAGCACCGCGTTGTCCCGAAATGAACTTTTATGTCCCGTAGGAAATCCGTTCGAAATACATAACGTCTTCACCGCCTTCAAAAAGATTGTTGTTCTTATTGAATCGAATGTAGTGGTAGGTTATTGTCTTGAAAACGCACACGCTTACTTACTAGTGAGCAAACACGGCACAGAACAGCTGCCCGTCTATCGGTGCAACCTGCAACGCACGCGGATTTTTTAAGGATGTCACTGACAAGTGTGTGAGTGGAATATGTCGGTGGAGAGAGGAAGGCCGATTCCTCGCCCTAATGGCTGCGATTCTTCCATTCTGGTACCACACGTACCATAACCTTACCCGCCCTTGGTAGAAACACAAGCCTAATTTACAAACATTCCCTGGTGTACTTGACCCAAGAACAGGGACTTGGGTCGGCAGAGTGAGAGCGGCAGAACGACCGGCGACCGAGAAATCCCAATAATACACGCCTCAACACCAGTCTAAGCCCTGAAAGACAATAGATACGGACGCATGTACAAACGTACATGTCACACCTAACCTGTAGAATACGGCAAGAAAGGCAGAGTACGTTTGGGTGACAGTATTGATAGTCGGAATCGGTTCGAAGCAGGAATCGCGCCCCGACTTGACTCTGGTAAGACAATACCAAACAACAGGTTTTTCACGCGAGAAGCGGCTTCAGTACGGTGGGACAACGCGACGGCGACGTACACGAGCGATGACCTCGAAGGCAGCTATGACGGGGTTTGCGAGTACCTACCCCAGTGCGCGCTATCGGCTGCCGGGACTTGCAACGGGGATGACAGGTTCGACAGAAATGTCAGTTTCGCGCGGCGTTGGTATCTCACACATGTTGTGCTTTGGGAATATTTTGATTGCTACAAAGCGATGTGATGAGGTGTGCGTCTGCGGGAATGCCCTCTCCCAGATCCTTGACATCTTGCCAACACCACATATCACGTTGGCCTAGCGTCCGAAGTTGGCCAACACTTGCGCCATAAGCCCAATGGCACCTCCCTAGGAACGCCCGCCCGAAAACAGTATATCGAAAACACAACCACGATGTGGATGTGAGCACGCTACGGAACTTTCTTTGCCGTCAACGGAGAGTTCTCTGTTTTGATCACTGGGTTGGAATGAGATTCGTGTCGTTCATCTAGCCACCACAATCAAAAACAACTACCCGCGTTCCCTGCAGTTGGGGGTTCTCGAGTTCCGTTAAAGAAAAAAAAAGCGAATATCGAGTTTTTCATTAGGTCAGTGTGGGGACAGCACAAAGGCGCAAATCAAACCCAAGTGCGCGCCCCCGCCGGAAAGACCCGCTCTCGATCTCTTGTACACCCCAAGCTGCCCGTTACACCCAGCCCAGCCGCACCCCTGTCGACCTATTTCGCTGCCCTGCGCACCGCACGTTGGGTTTTTCTCAATGCTTGAAGAGAGTATTCGTTCAAGGGTCAGGTGGGAAAGATAACGCTGGTGCCGGACGACCCCGAGGACGAGCAGTATGAAGTGACGTTCAACAACGGCAGGACGAGCTACGGCTTCAACCAGGAGCACCTGCAGGTGGAGCAGGACATGAACTACGAGGTGGGTCTCCTCGTCGAACAGTGTCTTCGGTGCGGCTCCGGCGTCTCGGTGCGCGGGACCACCCGGGTCGTCACCAAGCGCATTGCACTATCGGCAAAGGGTAGCACAAGTGTACCATGCCTGCTCAACTTCTCAAACTTCACCCCCGGTTGCCTGTTGCTCCATGGCCTACTCCTTCGTCTCCAGTCCATGGTCCCCCCAGCCTCTTACCTCTTGACCGACAGCCCCCCGCACCCACAACGTTGGAGTCTCCTCCCAACAAACTCGGTCTTTGCTGGTTCCACTCTATTTTCAAAAACGTTTAGCAAGTCGGCGTAGATGTGTACACAACCAAAGCGCCCCACAAACTCCTGGACGAACCATTTTTTCGCGAGGAGCGCAGGCGGGGTTGGTCCAGCGGGTCCGACGATACTAGCCTACTACTCTAGATGGTGTTTCAAACGTTTCGCCCTCGCAACAACCGTCTTCTTGGCTGCAGATTTGGTGGGTCCAACGCACGCTGCACAACTTCAGGGTGCAAGCCCGGAAGCCGATCACGGTGACCAGTCCCACGTGTACGTTCGACAGCACCAACGGCCAGTACTACCCGTACGCGATATTGGACGACGGGGTGGCAATTGATTGATATCCCCATTCATTCCTCCGCGTACGCGATACACGCGTGCTTAGATACTAACCGCCTAGTTTGTGCTTGTTATTAACTCGATGGTCTGTAACGTATTCTCGTAGTCGGCCGGTTAGTGCGGTCGATGCTCACAATAGAGACTCACACGCAAACACCGGTCAGGGGTTGGTATGCTACTAGGAACGCACCGTCACTCACGCAAGGGTTCAGCAGAGGTCATGCGACGCCGTCCTCTCGTCACATAAACGCGCCGCACAAAGAAGCTGTAGGCCGTCGCATCCAACACCTGCTGCTGTCTGTGTTGTAAAGGCAACCCGACAAAAAGCGTGGCCAAATCTCTGGTGAGGAAAAACGCGATTCGGTCCCGGCCGGCCACTTTTGTGTGGCCATCGAAACGCAACTCCTGCACTAGTGTCGGCAGGGAAACAGGCCAGCAAGAGCCCATCGGTGACTTCACGACCCCCTGCTCCCTTAGGAATCAAGACAATCAAATATCGGGTTGGACGCGCTCCGCGGCAACAACAACCAGGCACAGAGAGAACCGGTCGATATGGAAGATCAACAAGCCACTTAGTCTACATCTCGAACCCACCCGGAGGTGGATCTACCTAAGATGCTGTTGTGCCTTCCGCGGCAACAATCATGACTATTGAGGCAATGATGGAAACAGATCTGTTTTGACTCACGATGCTTGAAGCTGTTCCTCGTTGGAAATAAAGCAAATCCATGTCGAGCATTCCGATCACGGCCAATGCGGAACACCCGTGATGAATAGGAGACCAGAGGATCAAATAACAAATCCCGGAACCCGCACTGGGAAAAGTTCGCATCAAATCGGCGGATCGAACCACCTGCCCGAGCGCCCTACCTGTTACTTCGAAGAACGTTTTTTTGCATGACGAACACTTCGAGATCGATCAGCGGGCCTGAACCCCAGACCAAAGTGCCTCATCACAACCAGCAATGGATGCACTCGCCAGAGTCGGGCATGAAAGCACCCGCCGGAGCCGTGTTGATTTGACCCACGTGCTCCATTTTGACGAGAGGTTGCAGAGACAACAGTACACCATCTCCAAAACAGGAGCAAACATAGTGCTCCCCCTCTCCCCGACAGCTAAATCCTCATAGAACACCTAAAGTGCAGTCGCCTGGCCATCGCGTTGGCGACGAAATCACACAAGTAGTCCGCCGATCTCAGCACCCGCAGCGTGGATGTAGGCTGATGGCCTACCGCGACAAAAAAAAGCTTTCGAGACGAGAAAAGTGCCACAAACGCGCACCAAAGTGACGCTTGCTGCATGTACATTCATCCGACTACGCTGAAAAAACTCACAGTCAGGCACCCAGAGACGCTCAACAAACAAAGGAGCTTTACGTCGACAGCCCCAGCACCGAGAAACAAAATCGGAGGCCTACGACGAAAAGATTGGGGTGGATCTCTAGCCGAGGAGGAAGGGGAAGAGACGGCGGGCGATCGGTCTTCGACAGCAACAAAGCCCCCCGAAGGTCAATGAAGGTTGGGCTCGGGGGAGGCAATTATCTGCCCCGCGTCAAGCGGAGCCTTTTACGCCTTGTTTCTCCTACCAAGAAGAACCTTATGTCTTGCCGGGATCCTTGACATCGGGGGGAAGCCGCGGATGCTGTCGCCGACAGGAGATATTCAAACACTGCTGGCTCGCCGTCACAAGCCCCATTCATCCGCCAGCTTCTTGAACTGCTCCCAGAACAGAAACGTGTAGATGGTGTGTGGCTGTTCGGTCGGCCGCGTTCACCGCCAGTACACGGACAAAGTCATGGAAGCGTAGGACAACACGGCGGTTTCGCACGTCAAGCACACGTGCAGCACAAGTACGGCCGGAGGCGCGCCCGACAAGCATGATGAGCATATAGAAGATAGAGACGAGGCCGACCAAGGGGGGGCGGTGGGGGGTCCAGTGGGGGGGGGGGGGGTACTCATAGTCGTGCATGCCGTAGTCATTAGACCATTGACCTCGCATCCCTACAAA